TAACATAATATGCCATTGCTATTTAATACAAAAATTAAATATTGTACTCGTGTATAGGTCATCGCGGAAAGAAAACTTTATCATGAACGCACAGGTAATCGATACTTACAGAATCTTGAAGATGATAAAGAGACGGAGGCAGAAGATATTGAAGTATTTGGAAGTATGTAAGAAATCAAAGCTTTTAACTTAAATTCGACTTTGCAATCTAAAATTATAAATTATACCTGCTCTATTTACACTAAATATATGTATAACACGAAATGATGCAATACATGTTTGCTAAGAATAAATTATTACTGTTTGTAAGAAAGTTTAAATTTTAAATTAGAACAATGTTATATAATTCAAGCGTTATATTCAAAAATGAGATAATCGCTAATGATTTCTAGTTAAAAAAAAACGGCTAGCCATGTTGGATCTTTTAATAGCGGCATCCCGAGAGAGTTCTTTAACTGATTTAGACATAAGGGAGGAAGTCGATACCTTCATGTTTGAAGTACGTATATGTAATATTTTGTTTTAATTTTTGTACATATTATTTAAGCACATATAACAATATGACAATCTGATTACAGGGTCATGATACTACAGCAGTGGGTATAATGTTTGCTTTATTATTATTAGCTGAACACAAAGATATTCAGGTATACCTCAATATCTTATGATATATTATTTAAATTGCGATTTTTATTAAAAGTAGTACAAATATCAAGATTTTCTTCACAGTATATTTTTCTATACATATATCAATATATAAATTTCGAAAAAAATTAAAGTATCTCAAAACAAATATGAACAATATATTTTATTTCAAATTTATTTATATATATATATAATTTATTTATATATTTATTTATATATATAAAAACCTGAATTGAAAAATATTTTTTAAAATTATTATCAATGACATAGGAACGTGTGAGAGTTGAAGTTAATACCGTGATGCAAGAGAACGGAGGGAAATTTACCATGAAATCATTGCAAAATTTATCATATTTAGACAGATGTTTACGAGAAACACTACGTTTGTATCCCAGTGTGTTTTTAATATTTCGAGATACTGCGGAAGATGTAAAACTACGTAATTAATCACTTTATTATTTTTAAATATATGTCGCATATATTATCGAATGTAAAAGAATCCCTCACATTTTATATGAAAAAGGTGGCTTCGGTCAAATTGGGTGAAATTGAAATATGTTGTAGTTTAGGTGGTTTTGATCAAAAGTTTCCTAAGGCAAGAAGTTCAAAAATCAAAAGTATAAGAGATATGATGATTTGAAATGGGTGGTATTGAAGTTTAAAAAGCATCTGTTTTTGAATACATAGATTAAATTAATATATAAATGTTTGAAAAAAAAAATTTATATATAATGTGTGTCACTTCTACAATATTTTTTAAACTTAACTACTACTTTCTTCAAATCGTATCTTTTACACTTTTGATTTTTGGACTTTTTGCCTCAGGAAACTTTTGATCAACACCACCTAAATTACAACTTATTTCAATTTGTCCGAAGCCACCTTTTTCATATAAAATTTGGGATTCTTTAATACATATAAAAATTTAATACATATATTATATTGTATTTTACAAATACAATATTATGTATATTTTACTTTTTTCAAAAAAACCTTATTTATGTAAATTTTGAAATTTTGTAATACTTTTCAGATTCGTATATCATACCTGCTGGAACAAGCTTACATCTTAATATTTACGGAGCTCACAGGGATCCTAATTTTTGGCCAAATCCGGAAGTATTTGATCCTGATAGATTCTTGCCCGAAAACATACGGAAGCGTCATCCTTATTCCTACCTACCATTCAGCGCAGGACCGAGAAATTGCATAGGTGAATTGGTTGGGATTTTCATTTCTCTTCATGCTGATAGTTTTTGAGATACTTCGAATTTTGTATATTATTATTACGAGTATTATATATCATTATATATTATTATATATTATTATTATATATTATTTATATATATAATATTTATATATAATATTTATATATAATATTTATATATAATATTTATATATATTATATATACATTTATATATATAAATATTTATATATATTATTATATATAATTATTAGGTCAACGATTCGGCCTGTTGGAATTGAAGGCTATGATAGCTCCTTTGGTGCACAATTTTTATTTGGAGCCCATCGAAGATTTGAAGGATATTCAACTGAAGACCGATATAATACTTCGTCCTTCTCATCCGGTTCATGTGAGATTCATTCCCATCACATGCAAATAGCTGTTTAAAACTAACACAAATACGTGAATGTAAGATGTGCAAATTGCGAGAAATATATGCAATATTATATATGCAATTATAAACAAAATACACATTGTATATAAACATTATATTTAATTGTAAAAATATGAAGGTGGATATGGTTTGCTAAAAAAATATAGATATTTTTCAACATTTTTAACATTTAAAAATCAATATGGTTCTCATTTGAAAAATAATTATTTGACTAGAAAGTGATTAAAATTTCTTATAAAATTGCGTAGAAATGTCGTAAAAGTACGATTCGATCACTCCGCGTCGTCCTCGCTGAAATAGCCGACTATTTAATCACGCCGATCGGGAGCTTATGAAACGATCTTCTTTAATTAATATCTTGAAATTTTACATGGTTGTTTGCAAAAGTGATATTTAGAACTTTTTAGTTCAGCGATATCTATTTATGGTTTTTCTCTGACACTCGATAACTGGGACACTCTGTACATATATATATATTAAAATTGTTCTTGAAAGTAATTGTGATAAAATAATATAGCTGATGAGGAATCAATAATTAAAGAAATAGAAATCGATGAAAAATCGAAAGTCGTGCATAGTGTATTAAACAACAAACCAAGCAGTATATCAAATGATATACTTCCGATACATTATAACATGCATTTAATATTACTCAATAATTATCTCATTAACTAATGCATGATCACTTTAAATATTTCTTATGCAAAACAATACATAAGTTTTCATGCACCGTATTCATCGGATGTAACAGCATTAGCATTACCTCAAAATAATGGTACGATTTATGAAATATTGATAATTGACCTTCATTATTTCTTCACAGTTTATCTTTCAAGGTCAATTTTGAGATTGATAGAAGCACTTTTAGAAAAAAAGTTGTATACAAAAGCTTTTTATTTTTTCACGTATAATTTAAATCTGTAATAAAAAATACCATGTTCCCCTAAAAAAATTCAACTTTCGATCTGGATGGCGTATTTCCGGTCGGAATCAAAAGTTGAAAATATCACCATCTGATAGAACGTACCCGATTTACTTAAAAATAGTTTGCAATTTTTGATAAAAGTCATTTATTTTCATTTTAAAAGGGATATTCTGAGATACTCTGTATATGAGTTATTAAGTTCTTTTTCCTCGTTGTAATAAGATGCAATTTTGGAATGCAATTTTCAAAAATTATAATTATTTTTGCAAAAGATAAAGCAGATTTAAACAATAAAAAATATTTTAGCACCATTTTTTTATAAAACAATATTTATAGACTTAACACTTTTTTTATTATCATGTTCCTTTCATGTTCAACTTTTTTAATGTGTTAATCGATTCATTAGATTAATGATATAAAGATGCAGATGCAGAATTACAATATTTTGCAAGCTGAGCATTACAAATTTTAGTAAACTAAAATCTCTGTAATAATAAAGCTCGTTAATACGAATTAAGAAACATAAATACAATAAACAGCCTGATACGAGCTAAACTGTGGATGATAGGTCAGTTAAAAAAACAAAAGGGTAAAAAAAGTATGTCAATAAGTCGCATTTAGAGAAACTTAAGAAAGCGACAAAAAAGTGAGACGTTTCGATGCTTACTTGCATCTCTTCAGTCACGAAGTGTTAAGATTCAAAAATATGGTGATCGCATCTCGAATATAAAGTCAACGTGTGTTGTGTGACAGCTTGGTTTCTGATAAAAATTACATACGTAAAATTAGATACATGAAACATAAAAGATTAAATAAAGAAAAAATTGCGTGAAACTTAAGGAAACCGTTACAATTAAAATAGATCATTTGTAAAAAATCTTACCAAATCTCCTAAAATTTGAAACCTCCACACAGACTCGAGTCTTAGTATTAAAAATTAAAAACATTGTTGCGGAAACGATAGACAGTAAGACAATGTGACAATATGTTATTCTCACCGCAATATAAATAGATCAAGATTAACAAGTACAATGCGAGACAAACAAACTATCATAATGAATCTAATAGTGGAAAATATATATTATTTAAAGCTGGTAAATCCTCAATTTTATTTAATCCATTTTTTTTTGGTTTTTGATGAAAATCATTTCCGAAATCAATCTTTTAAAGTAATGGGGTTCATGGTCCAATATTTTAATTTCATCCCATCCTATAGAGTGATTTTCATTAATAATATGGTCAGTGATAACCGACGATTTAAAAGGCTGTCTAAAAGGAAATAATGTAGTTTATAGAATTGATTGTTTATAGAATGATTGCGACGCTTCTTACGTGGGACAGACAAAGAGACATCTTGAAACTAGATTGAGGGAGCACAAGAATAATGTTGGAAGAAGTGACACTTCGTGACTGAAGAGATGCAAGTAAGCATCGAAACGTCTCACTTTTTTGTCGCTCTCTTAATAAATGAGACTTATTGACATTCTTTTTTACCCTTTTGTTTTTTTAATTGACCTATCATCCACAGTTTAGCTCGTATCAGGCTGTTTATTGTATTTATGTTTCTTAATTCGTATTAACGAGCTTTATTATTAAAGTATTTTAATTTATATGTATAAATATGTCTTCGGTTGTTTGGACGTAAACGTAGACTTAACCGAGAACATACTCGGTTGACTTGATAATAACAAATATAAATATATGAACAAACATCTCATCTATTGTGTAAATAAAAATATAAATATATGAACAAACATTTCATCTATTTTCGATAAATTATCGACTTGCACAAATGCAAGTCCTCCGTATCACTATATTTATAATATATTTTTTAGTGGAACAATTGAAATTATTGTGTAAACTATGTGATAAATATTACCCTATTTTAAAAGTATGGGGATTATTCCAATTTACTGTGTCTATCCGTCATCCAGATGATCTAGAGGTAATAAAAAAATTTCTGAAAAGATTTACATAATTCTCTATAAACTCAATAGACATTATTTTAGCTAGAGATTTAGGAATTTTGTATTTTACAAGAAGATTTTTGCTGAAAATATTTCTTAAAAAAAAACGAATCGATACAGAACTCCATACAAATTAGATTAAAATATGAGATACAATTAGTAAATTATTTGTACATCTGAGATTGAATGCTATAATAAATAGATGTTTCTGGTGATTTTAGAAAATACTAAGCAGCACTAAGCACATCGATAAAAGTCGTTTATATAATATAATGCATCCCTGGCTCGGTACAGGTCTCCTCACTAGTACAGGTAACATAATAATGTTAACATATAAAAACGTACAAACTTTTTTATTACAGTTTGTTATCGCGTATTAAGGAAGTATTCTAGTCGAGCGGAAAAATTGACTTTTTTTTGCATATTTTGCAAATATTTAGTATGGAAAATATGCCTGAAAAAAAATGTAGCCAATGAGCATTGTGTCAGCATTTATATTTCGATTAGGTTTGGCTAGTGAATTGCTGGAACATTGTTTAGGAGCAGAAACACAAGATAACAATGAAAATTCTTTTACTGCATTGATTTGGACTTTTGCTCCACAACACCTTCATTCTGGGGTAAAGATTGTTTAAATGGCAACTTTTCTGGTAGTTAAGGAAGATAGCCGGAGAGTCATGAAAGTGATGAACTAACTTTTTTTCATAATTTTATTAAATTTTGTATACCGCGCTTATTTATAATTATTTTTTAATAAAAAAATTTGGAAATATACTTGAAGTATGTACATATAAATATGTTAGAGAAAACTATATCCCAATAAAACTTATTCTTTTTAAACAAATTCGCAAAAATGGCATACAAATTCGATTTTTAGACTAGATTACTGCTTAAATTTTTAATTTTAAATCAAACATCATTACTTTTTAATAAATTTTAATATATTTTTTATTTATCAATCTATAAACATCTAATTACAAAATAATAATTCAATTCAAGTTAATACTTTCAATATACTTACCGTAAAAATTTTATGAGAAGATATATTTAAAGGATTATAAAAAAGTTTTGCGATATAAAAAGAAAAACGTAGAATAATATTGTTATTTAATAATGGGCAGTAAACATTAAATTAATTGTAAGAGAGGCACTATAATATTTATAAATCTTATATTCCATTATTTTATCGCACAAGGTCGCTTTATTTTGTTTTTGTTTCAGGCGTTAAATGGCAAGCACGACGAAAGATATTAAGACCTGCGTTCCATTTTAATATATTAAATCAGTTTGTTGATATCTTGATCAAGGAAGGTGATTGCATGACAAAATCTTTGAAGGATGTCGGAGGAACAGTTGTGAAGGATTTATTACCATTTATTAGTGAATATACGCTAAACGCGATATGTGGTAATATTCTAAATGACTATAACTTAAGAAAAGAATGTGTTTCTACATGAAGTATTACACACACACACACACACACACACACACACACACACACACACACACACACACACACACACACACACACGCACGCACGCACGCACATAATAATACAGTGAAAATAAATAATATTCGATTTTTTATGCTCAAAACTAACAATAAAATATTCACCCATAATAATCTTCGATTGTTCAATCTCGACAGAGTGTCCCAGAATTTGGCGGACACGAAATGTACAGCTGTCCGTGCCAGAAGAAGCAACTTTTTCCTTTGGCAAATATTTGTCTAAACATTACTTTTTAAATAAAAACAACTTTAAGCTAACCAGTCAGTGCTCTAGACTTGAATCAGATGCGTGTACATGAGTGTTAGCAGAGTCGGATTTTTCACGCGTGGTAATGACGATTAACCAGCGATATATCAGTTTATAGACGAAGTTAATTTAACAGGCTTAACCAAACTCATCTGACTGCTTCAATTGAATGATTAATAGTGATTATTATTTTGAATTTATGATTTTAAGTTCAGTAAAGTTGAGAAGTTAACAATATATACTTCTCATATTTTCTATAAAAAAATATTTTTTATTTATTTATATTTTCAACAAATGTGTTTTGTTTAACGAATCTTTTTCTGTTCTAGTTTAATTAAATTTCTTATAATTATATACATATAAATATATATTTACATAAGCAAAAAAATGTATCGCTACCATTAGTAAAAAATTTTCACGGGTAAGCGGTACATCTTTTTATCTACATTAGATACTTTATTGAGACCGTGCGTGCGCATAAAAAACCTGACCTATTTGCCAACATTGTACGGCGTGTATGGCACTTGAGGCTGTACGTTATTTTATGTTTATTTTTTAATATTTAAAAACGTTGGAATTGAAATTATTCACGTGTTATCTAATCCATTAATTTTATTTTCAATCGTTGTTTCAGTGATATCAATTAGAAATTGTTCTCTTATTAAATAAATTATATATTCAAAATATCGATATTGAAAAATATCATGCATAATTCTTATAAACGCAGACTGTGTGCGTATCACTCTTAATTCATAAATAATTTAAATAATTGTTAAATTGTTAAAAAGTAGTATTTAAACGCACTTTTATCACAGGCAAAAGTTACTTCTTCTGACACAGACAATCATGTTGTGCATTTTATATCCACGAATTCTAGATCACTCTGTATAATAAATACATTTTAGAAACTGCCATGGGCGTCTCTTTGCAAAATCTCGGCGAGTTCCAACAACAGTATCGAAATGCAATTCACGAAATAATCGAATTGATACTTTATATGTAATTCAATATGTGAGAGTATAACAAATAATTATAAATATGTAACATATTTATGATCCTTTAAATTATTATAATGATTTAGTTATACATTTTGAAAAATAAATTTATTATTAAGAAATCATGTTTTCACATGATTTCTTAATAATAAATTTCTTAATAATAAATCTCTCATGATTTCTTTGAATGAACAATTAGTGTTTATATCAATATTAAATATCGATTCGTTTAAGTCTAATTAGCAATTAACATATATTGTACATGCTCCATTAAATGTTTTATTTAAAATTGCTTTTAATCTTAAAACTATTGAAAAATTAAGAAAAATGAATTGTGTGGGCAATAAAATTTGTAGAGTAAAAAATATTTAGATAAAAAAATATTTAGCTAAAAATACAATGTTTTTAAAAGATTTTACATAACATTTTCGTCACACATATAATTTTAAATTTTTCATATATTGTCTATAATCAATGATTATTTAGAGTTAAGATTACTCTATTACTTCATGATGGCTTTAAATAAGGCTTTTACAAAATAACATTATTATTAAAATTATATAACTACAAATGAATTTTGGTTTAGAGTAATAAGGCCTTAGTTGTATAATGATTTATTCTCACTTTCGCCACAAGAAAGAAAACAAAAAAAAATCTTGAAGATATTGCATGGATTTACAGAAAAAGTATGTTACAAGTCATTTTATCTCAAGTCCTTCAAACACTTTTAAAAATTACAATAAATCTCATAATATTAATAACATATTGCATTATTAATATTTATAATATAATACAATATGTTTTTGCTATTTAATACAATAATTAAATATTTCGTATATAGGTTATTGCGGAAAGAAAACTTTATCATAATTGTACAGGTAATCGATTCTTAAAAAATCTTGAAGATGATAAAGAGACGGAGGCAGAAGATGTCGAAATATTTGAAAGTATGTAAGAACTCAAAGCATCTAATTTAAATTCAATTTTGCACTCTAAAATTATAAATTATACTTGTAATAAATTAAACTATATATATATATATATATATATATATATATATATATATATATGATGACACGAAATGATGCGTTATATGTCCGCTATAAAAATAAATTATCGCTATTTTTAAGAATTACTATTTGTAAGGAAGTTTAAATTTTAAACGAGAACAATGTTATATATAGTTAAAGTGATATACAAAAATGTGATAATCGTTAATATGCCTTGCTTATTTCTAGTTAAAAAAAACGGCTAGCCATGGACCCTTTAATAGCCGCATCTCAAGAAAGTTTTTTAACTGATTTGGACATAAGAGAGGAAGTCGATACTTTGATGTTTGCAGTACGTATATGTAATATTTTTTTAAATTGTTTGTACTTATTATCTTAGCACATATAACAATGTGATCTGATAACGATCTGATTATAGGGACTACATACTATGATACTACAGCAGCGGATATAATGTTTGCTTTATTATTATTAGCTGAACACAAAGATATCCAAATACATCTCAATATTTTATGACATATTATTTAAATTGCGATTTTTATTCAAAGTAATATAAATGTCAAGTTTTTCTTTACAGTGTATTTTTCTATATGTATTATATAATATGGTTATGTTATTTTTTATGTTATTTTTATGTTATTTTTTTATGTTATTTTGATATAAATCGTTTTCAAAGTTAAAAGCTAAATGTTAGAGGGTGGGAAAGAGGGAAAGAGGGAGAGGGAAAGAGGAAAGATGGAAAGAGGGAGAGGGAGAGGGACAGAGGGAAAGAGGGAAAGAGGGAAAGAGGGAGAGGGAGAGGGACAGAGGGAAAGAGGGAAAGAGGGAAAGAGGGAAAGAGGGAAAGAGAAAGAGGGAAAGAGGGAAAGAGGGAAAGAAGGAGAGGGAAAGAGGGAAAGAGGGATAGAAGGATAGAGGGAAAGAGGGAAAGAGGGAGAGGGAGAGGGAAAGAGTGAAAGAGGGAGAGAGGGAAAGAGGAAAAGTGGGAAAGAGGGAAAGAGGGAAAGAGTTAGTAAATTAATTAATTTATTATGCTATTAATTTTAATAACTATAAAAATAATAATAATAAATTTAAATAAATATAAATATAAATAAATACAAATGTAATAAATTTAAATATAATAATAAATATAAATAAATATAATAATATATTCTATTATTATAAACAAAAGACAATTGATCATAACCATTGATGCATCGATAAAATAGTTATTTGATCTCTCATTGGCTAAACAATCGCTTACGTTTTGTGAACGTTGCTAATGGATTTTTACAATTGTAAATCATAATGTTGCGATTGTCATTCGAGAGATAAAATCGCTTTGCATGTGTACTTGCAAGAGTATGTATGTAAATGTTGAAAAATGTCACAATTGGTACAGGATTATCATACTTCAGAAATTGATTGTACTAATTTTATTCAAACTCAAAAGCCACAACCGAATAATTGTATCAACATTGTATTAGAAAAATGCTGTTGAATTTTTGATTATGACTTTAGTTTCTGAGATATTTTAATTGGAAATTTATTTATAAAAAAATCCCGGAAATAAACTACTTGATAATACCTCATACGATGTATCAAAAATCTCAACGGTCAGATCCAGTTCATATATTATTATGTATGTACATTAAACGAATTTGTATGTAATGCGTTACTATCTGTAATATATATTGTTAACATCGCGCTGAAGAAGGATCAAAAGATGAAATATTCGCTTTTTGTTATTATAATGTGTTTTTTAATAAACTAATATTGAAAAAAGGAAGAAGTGTTGTTGCTTCTCTGCACTCCAACTACCGCGCGTTGGCTCTTATGTCATTATCTTTTTGATGTTAATTACTAGTCATAAACATGACTTATCAGATTCTGCGCTTTTTATAAATTGATAATGATATGTCGTTATGTATCCCTCATATTGACTTGAGATTCAATGATGCAATTGGACATATTTCTTTCAATTTGCTATTTTATTACAGGTATGCGGATGATGTAGCTCTGGCGGTTCCCTCTTTCATGTTCAATAGGATCGTGGACATCTTTAACTTTTTTCATCCGAGATTTCAATTTAATTTTAATTTCTTCTGTAGCATTTCGTTGGAGCGTCGTGCGGTTCATATACTAGGCAGACGATACGCATTGACAGATACGGAATTCAAATTCCTCGAAATTGATATCAACAGTTGAGTCCATCGAGTTACGTGGAGATAATCATAGGAGATCATCGGGGAAAGGAACTGATATTATCTCTCGAAACGTGGAAGGGATTCTACGAGCAACAATCACAATATTCAACATTTCCTTCGGAACAACTCTAAAGATGACTACAATTTTATAAGCGTTGGACCGCACAGTGAGAGTTCACACGATTAACGACAAACTTATATGTCTCGAATCTTCAAACGTATGCATGATGATGGTCGAATCGACGTTACATCGTATGTTCGATCTCGATCAATGCATAGAACTTTCAATCGATTGGATAAAATTATCGAAACAGTTGATGTAAGGTTTACGCAATTCTTCAATATCGCGTCT